GCTCCAAATCTATGTTCACATCTCCTGGTTTATGATGACCCAAACCTCTCTCTAAAGTCTACACTAGAGCAGGGTTTCTCAACCTTGGACCTACTGACATTTTGCACTGGGTAATTGTTTTAAGGGGCTGCCCTGGGCATTTTAGGATGTTTGGCAGCTCCCCTGGCCTACACCTACTAGAAGCTAATAGCACTCTCCCATTGCCTCCACTGGGACAACAGAAAATGCCTCACCTTACTGACCAATGGTCCCCGGGAGAAAATTCCATTTTCTTGTGATCTCTAAACCAGTAGCAATGACATCACCTGTACCATTAAAAATGTAGATGTTTGAGCCCACCTGGACCTAATGAATCAGTGTCCCTGGGTTGGTACCAAGGACACTGTGATGTAAGCCAGCTCTCCAGCAGATTTTGACATGCACTCAAGTTTGAGATCCACAGAGGCCAGGGCCCGGTGAAGTAGAATAGGGCTGGGTGTCTTTATTTTTATCAAGTTCTTGAGAGATGCTGATACAGACCAGGTTTGAAAATCCCCAGGGAAGAGGTTTCTGAATGTGCGTATCAGACTCACCTAGGGGTGGGGTGGGGTGCAGACCTTTTTAAAGTCCCGAAGTTCAAGTCACATCTCAGACCGATGAAATCACAACCTTGGGGGTGGGACATAGGCATCAATGCATTTGAAGTTTAAGTATTAGCTGCAGGTCAGAATTCACCTGTGGAGCTTTTGAAAATACTTGCAACTGGTCCCACTTTCCATCAAATCAGAACTCTCCAGGTGGGATACAAGCACCAGGTTTTCCCTCCAAATGCACTGTCCGGGAGGATTCTAGTACTACCGAGAACTGAGGATAACTGCTCTCTGGCCATGCTAATACTGAGAAGCAGAAAGGTGTAATTAGGGATGCAGGGCCTGGATTCCAATCACCTGGGTTTGAATCCTTGGGCAAGGTGGGTCAACTACACTAAGTTCCCATGTCTTCATCTGTCAAATAGGGAAAGTAATAATGGCACTGACCTAGGGGGTTGTGATGATTAAATCAAGTGACCCATTTAAAGTCTCTGCATGACATCCTAGAATAACATAAGCACTTAGTAATATTTCTAACAATTTTTTTAAAAGAAAACACTTATGAAAAGATTGAACATTAAGAAATAGGTATCTTTGCCCTGGCCTGGTGGCTCAGTTGATTAAAGCATTGTCCTGCATGCCAAAAGGTTGCAGGTTCAATCCCCAGTCGGGGTGTGTGCAGGAGGCAACCAATTGATACTTCTCTCTCACATTAGTGTTTCTCTCTCCCTCTAACTTTTCTTCCCTCTCTAAAATCAACACACATGTCTTTGGGTGAGGATTAAAAAAAGAAATAGATATCTTCAAAGATAAATATTTATCTATAGGCAAATGTGAGATTTCTATTCCAAACAAGACAAACCTGCTGCATCCAGAGTTGGGTCTCCAGCAAATGGACCTTGACTACAGATTCCAAAAGCTGTCAGTTTCAAATAAGCTATTTTAACAGTGCTGGTCACCCAGGTATCCAAACGCAGAAGGCAGGAGATGAAAACATCCTTGCAGCGCAGCTGCCTTTCAGGGGTTTGCTGGGCGGAGCCTAAGGAGAATGTGTGTGACCACTGCTCCCTCCCCAGGAGACCTCCACGGCTATGTGACAGACATTGGGGAGCTCCTCCTCCTCGCTACCATTCGCCCTCTTGGATGGCACTCTCTCTCCCTCCCTCTGTCCTGCCCCTCTGCCATTCCTGCGCCTTGCCTCTTCAGAAACTCATTTTCATGACCTTTTGGATGCAGAGGTTAAGGTTGACATGTGGGCAGAGGGCACGATGTTCACAGAAGTGGCTCTCCGGCTCTCCGCGTGAACGCAGCCCGCTGGAGTCAGTGTGCTCTCAGGCACCTCTGGAAGCCTTGATTTTCTTCCCTGCCATCACAAGGTGTTCTGTGTGTCCTAACAACTAACTGAAAATCAGAATTGATGCATAGAGTATCTTTAAAAATAAATATGTTGATGTATGTATGCAGGCCTTAAAAATCAAGGTAATTCAAGCAAAATCAAGGCAAGTTCTGATAAGAAATTAAGATTTTGTGTCCCCTTGTAATTGTATTTTGCCTTATTATTCTTTGTTCTTGTTTTATCCTCACATGAGGGTATTTTCTTTTGCTTTTTTAGAGAGAGAGAGGGGGGAAGGGAGAGAGAAACACTGATGCAGCGGGAACTGCCTCCATAGGCACACACCCACTGGACCTGGGATTGTGTGCTTCTGGACCTGGGGTTACACGCACCAGCGCCCCAACTGGGGGTGAACCTACAGCCTAGGTATGTGCCATGAAAACTGGAGGTATGTGTCCATGAGGACTGGAAATGAGAACCCATAATATTTTGGTTACAGGACGACGCTCCCACCACTGAGCCACACTGGCCAGGGTGTGCCTTGTTATTCTTCCCAGCAGATTCTGTATCTTTCAGAGAACTCTGAGTCCATGTATCAGCAAGGCATGAGAGGGCCTGACGGAACTGTTTTTGAATGCTGGTCTACAACTTGCTGTGTATGTGGCCTTGGGAGAGTTTGTCTCTCTGAGCCCCAGTTCTCTTACCATTTTCCTAACTGAGTTATTGTGGATGTCAGACGAGACCAAGAGCAGGGAACTCAGATACCACTGTCCCCTCATCCTCGAGCTCCAGCTGGCAAGAGATCTCCCAAGTTTGAGCCATCAACAATAGCAGGTACAGACAAGCAGCCAACACAATGTTCTAGAGATGGTTTCTGACATTAAATTCAAGCACTGAGGAGGAGGGAATTTTTTTAATCCTCACTGGAGGACATGTATTTTGATTTTAGAGAGAGGGGAAGAGAGAAAGAGAGAGGGAGAGAAAAATCAGTGTGAAAGAGAATTGCTTCTCCTCTGTGCTCAGACAGAGGATCAGACCCACAACCCAGGCATGTGCCCTGACTGCAAATCAAACCAGAAGCGGGGTTTATGGGACGATGCTTTGGCCAACTGAGCCACACTGGCCAGGGCAGAGGAGAAGGGAATCTTATATTCTATGAAATCATCAAAGGAAATAAAAATAATGATCCACATATTCTATTGTGGAAAGATTTTGTGTCATTTTTATCTTATATTTACAAAGAAATTAAGTCTAATTTGCTACCACCTTTTGACTCAGAGAAACCTACATCCCTCTCTAGAAGGTGACAGAATTCCAGTCCCCCAAATAAGAACAAATGACCGAGGACACATTCGAACTCCAGAGTGCTCTGCTCTGGCTGGCCATAGAGTACCAAGTACTGGTACACGGTGCCACAGTATTTTGCTAAGTGCATTTTCTGTTTACTGAATGTTTATGCAAGAAAAGTCCAGCTCTTAGTGTTTATCTTTAGGTCCTATTTGGTAGACTTGATGCTTGGCACACACCCTTATGTGTTTACAATTGCAGATGAGACTTTAGGTAGTTCAAAACTTGAGCCTGCACTAAGGTTAAGTGGCCAACTGGAATTAGGAATCCTGGTCTTATGGCTTAACGTTGTTCTCAATGAGTGTGGTCTCCAGACCAGGAGTACCAGTAGCACCTGGGAATTTGCTTAGAAATACATGTTCCTAGGCCCCGCTCCAGACCCACAGGAGCGGATCCCAACAATCTGTGTTTTAATAAGCACTCTAGATTATTCTGATTTTCATTCAAGTTTGATAACCACTGTTCTAATGTGATGCTTCCTAAACCTGGTTTTTCATCAGCAAGAATCACCTGGAGAGCTTGTAAAAACACAACGAAGCAAGAGGATCTCATGCCGCTCCCCTCCCCTGGCCTCTGACACAGCTGTTTGGTATCAAGGATTTCATATTTTAAAAAAGTGATACCTCTAGGTGATTACCAAGGTTTGGACACTGCTTTAATAAATGATCAGATTTCAGTGGCTCACACGGAGAGGAGGAGATAAGGAAAGGAGGGAGGAAAGGCAAGAAGAGGAGGGAAGAATAGGAAGGGGAAAAGGGAGAGAGGATAACATAGCTTTTCTGTTTTGAAGTCAAAATTACAACACATCATTGATACTTCCATATTTAATACTATTTTCAGACCTAAGTTTAAAAACTTTACATTAACACTAAGCTTTTAAACAAGGCTTGGAGTAAAAAACTTGTTCTCCTTTCTCCAAATTTTTGACTATTACTAAGTTAACTATAAGATTTGACTAGCATATCCTTTTCTAACACACTTGAAATATTTACTTTGGAGTCAGGCCTTTTCAAGACTTACCCTAATTAAGTTCTGAAATCTTAGCTTGGAATTAAAAAAAAAAATTACCCTGCTAACCATTTGGCCTTAATATTCTGGTCACTGCAACACATCTCCACCTTAAACACGAGGAAGCTACACCAGGGAGCACACTGGAGACAAAGCCCTCCTGGCTGTTCCTCAGCGGGCATCACCTGCCATTTCCTCGGGCTCTCCCACACCTAATCATCTCGTGTGTCTGAATAAAAAAAATTCTATCATATGCAATGTCTGCAAATGACACCCCAAAAGCTTCTGTGCCAAATTTTCAAATAGCGTAAGGAGAAACATGATCCTCCACACATGAGAAGCACTGACTCCGGCCCTGGCCCCCAACTGTGACATAAAGGCCCCTTTCTGTCTCTCTAGACCAGGGGAGTGGTGAGCTGACCCACCATCTATTTTTGCACAATCTGAACTAATAAAAGTGTTTACATTTTTTAATGGTTTAAAACAAGCAAACGAAAAATCATAGTTTGTGACAGGTGAAAGTGGTATGACATTTAAATTTCAGTGCTCCAAATAAAACATTACCAGAACACAGCCATACTGATTCATTTATTGCCACAGCAGCTTTTATTCTACAAAACAAGAAGGCAGTACTGAGTATTACCACACTATTGAGTATTCATGCTGCAAAGACTATGGAAGTGCTACGACCCAGGAAGCTGAAGATGTTTCCTAGTGGCCCTGCAGAGAAAAAATATGCTGACCTTTGTTCTGGATGCTGGGCTCCTTGAGGGAACAGACCACCTGCTATTGGTCCTTGGCAGCTGTCTCCCACTGCCGCGGCCAGCGAGGCAGTGGGTTCGAGACGCGCAGTGACGGACTGAAAAGAGAGAGCGACCAGTTGCTCTGGTGGCAAAAGGCAAGTTTATTGAAAACTCTTGTCATTATATAGTGAAATGTTCTAAAAAATAGAATGCTTGCTACACGAAGAGAGTCTTTGTTCAAGAAAGTTTACACACCCCCTTCAGGTCACGTACAGAACATCCTGGTTTAGATTAACTCCAAGGACACGACGCATCGCCCCAAGGCGCCGGCACCTCCCTGTCCTTCTCTTGGGAACAATCCGATAACCAACAAGGCCGGGGTGATGTCAGGTCACCTCCCCCGAGGCCAAGGAACAGGCCCAAGCATCATTCTCACAATGCAGGACCCTAACTCTTGACCCCTTCCTGGGGGGCTTGGTTCCCCCACATCTCCCCCTTTCTTGTTTAGGACAATTAAGGCAGATATTCCTGCAATGAGCATTCCCTACGAACCGTTTTGTGCGGGCCAACATTAAGTCATTAACCTTTTTGGATAATAGCAAAACCAGGGTCCTCATACCAAGGGGTGGAAAGGTTAACAGGTACAAAGGCAAAAGAAGGTTGTTTCAATACAGCAAATGAACTAACATTCATAGATAGATTAAGGCAGTTAGTTAGATAGCACTGATCACAGGTTAGGTTATATACAGTATTATGAGAGACCTGCAAGTCTCCAGCAATGAACGCGAAAGGGTCGGGTACACAAGCTATCACAGAAACATTCTTCTGATTTCCAGACCAAGAGATGGCGTCCTGGGCTCCTATGTGCATCCACTGGACCGCTCTCTTTGCTACGGTAATATACTGAAGAGAGGCCACAGCTTTCCACAACATAGTCTGATAGGTTCTATTGTTTTTGGTCCAAATTCCGTAGAGAAGATTTTGAGGCCGCAACGAGCCGTTGCGAAAGTCACTCCAGTCACAAACCCCTTGGTCGCAAACTGTTTGATTGAGATGGCAAATCCTCCAGGCCGGTCCCCATTGGCTGGGCGATGGGGTCCGACTTCTGCAAGTTGGAATGTCGGCAGGGGGAGTTCCTACGCCAATCGTGGCGGAGGTATTGTTGCGTTTCAAATACAGCATATCAACACCCCAGTGAGTCCCATTACTAAAGTCACTGTCCCAGTCCTCATACCTCTGAATAAGAGTACAGTTTGCCAGAGAGGTGGAGAAGCAAAGCGGCTGCGTCGTAGATATGCCTGAATAATTGACCATCGCACTCACTGGTATCACGTGTCCGACGGAAGGGGTGCCCAGTACCTGGGTGTTGTTGACATAAACTGGAATGAACTCGTTGTCTTCCCCAAGTGACTGGGTGCATGACGAACACAGCGTTCAGGCAGCCAACGAGGAGTCTCAGCGTCTGTAGGAAAAACACACACATACCCTCTTCCCCCATACTAATACTGGGTCTGGGCCATGGCGTGACCCGTCAATGGGATCTCTCCAATAAACTTGTGGGTATTGACTCATACGTGGGCTCCAATGACGGTCAGCTGCAGAGCGCCCCTCGGTATCTAGAGTGAGGAAATTTAAAACGAAAAGAGAATGGGCTAACAGTAATTTCGGGGACCGAGGATCATACCATCTCCCCCCTTTTAATTTAGTAAGCTGGTGTTTCAAAGTAAGATGGGCGCGTTCAACAAGTCCTTGGCCCTGTGGATTATAAGGGATACCGGTTTTGTGAATAATTCGAAAAGAGAGACAAAAATTGTGAAAAGTACGGCTGGTATAGGCGGGAGCATTATCAGTTTTCAGTACACGAGGGGTTCCTAAAACGGCAAAACAGGAAAGGAGGTGAAGAATAACGTTACGGGTATTTTCGCGGGAAGAGCTGTAGCGCATAAAAAAATGAGAACAGGTGTCAATCGTAACATGCAAATATTGAAGTTTTCCCGAAGGAGGGAAGGTGGGTTACATCCATCTGCCAGAGATCGTTAGGGGCGAAGGCCCCTAGGGTTGACGCCAAAATGAGGAACAGGGGATAAAGGGAGCACAGGAAGAGCATGACTTGACAATCTGTCGTGCGGCATCCCTGGTCAAGCGGAATTGATATCGTAACGAGCGGGCTGACTGATGGTGAAGGGCATGAGAATCCGTAGCTTGCTGTACCTGTGACAGATAGACTTGTGTATGAAGATCAGCAAAATGATTACCTTGCGCAAGAGGACCAGGGAGCCGGGAGTGACCTCGAATATGTCCGACAAAACAAGGGGAAGAACGAGATTGAAGGAGGGATTGAATTGTAAGGAATAATTGGAAAATAGTAGGGTTGTGAGTATGGATCAGAGGGACTGTTTCAAGGACAGATAAGGCACGAACGATATATTGACTGTCAGTGTAAAGATTGATTGCCTGCTGAAAAAAGCTCTAACGCACGGGACACTGCATAGAGCTCAACTTCCTGTGCAGATGAAAAGGAGGTGGACCATACATAAGTTTTATCAGGAGTAACTAAAGATGCTCTGCCATTAGAGGAGCCGTCAGTGAAGAGAGAAATGGCTCCTGCGATGGGGTCACTGACGACAACCTTAGGAAAAATGAAAGAGGCAACGTGCGCGAACTGTAGAATCTTGTCATGCGGGAGGTGATGAGCTATTTCACCTGCAAACCCTTCAAAGGCAAGAGCAAAGGAGTCATTAAAATTCATCAACCAAGAATATTGCTCTGCAGTATAGGGGATAATAATTGTGGGAGGATCCCTGCCTAGGACTTGTACAGATAATTTACGGCCTTGCTGAACGCGCTCCGCCACCAGGGTAGGGTAGGAAAGAAGGGCTTTCCGCGGGGTGGCAGAGCCATGGAGCCATTGCAAAACACCCTGTTGGTAGAGAACGCCTGTTGGTGTCAGCGAGGTGGGAATGATAATTAACTGCCAGGGCCGAGCGCGGCGACGGTCTCGGCTTCCTCGGCCCCGGGATGCGGCGAGCGCTGCTGCTGGGGGGCTGTAACACTCAGGGAGGGCGGGCCCCCGCCCGACCCCCCCGCGAGGGGGGAACGAGACGGGGGCCCCCCGAGCCACCTTCCCCGCCCGGCCTTCCCAGCCGTCCCTGGAGCCGGGTCGCGGCGCACCGCCGCGGCGGAAATGCGCCCGGCGGCGGCCGGTCGCCGGCCGGGGGCAGTCCCCAGCGACCCCTACCCCCGGCCCCGCCCGCCCGGCCCCCACGCACCCGCCGGGTGGCGGGGGAGGGGAAGGGCGGGGGAGGGACCGGGAGGCACGGGGAAGCGGGAAAGACTCCGCCGGGCCGCCGGCACGGCCGGACCCGCCGCCGGGTTGAATCCTCCGGGCGGACTGCGCGGACCCCACCCGTTTACCTCTTAACGGTTTCACGCCCTCTTGAACTCGCTCATCCCTTAATTCTTTAAGCACAGACAATAATTCTTTCAGGGTTGGATCCGCCTCGCCGGCCGGCTTCTCATCCTCGGCCGAGGCGAGGAACACCTCCTGAGGGGGGTGATACGATGCTGTCTGGTCAGCAAGGTCCCCCCAATCAACTTCTGCTGGACCGGGAACCCGCGGTTTCTCCGATAAGTTCACTTCTGACTGATCATACTTGGGCGGTTCCCATTTTAGGGGGGTGCGGTCGGGCGGAGGTGGTGGGGAATATAGATTCTCCGCCGAGCGAGCAGCACGGAGACTGCCCCGCGTGCTGCGCTCCCACTTGGCAAGCTCAGAATCCCCCCTTAAGCAGTCTCGAACAAGAGACCAAAGAGAGAACGCATCTACAGGTGTCTTCTCAGGACCATTAGTTTGATAATGCTCTTTGATGCGCTCCCCCACTTTCTTCCACGTATCTATATTTATAGTCCCTTCTTCCGGAAACCACGGGCAGATCTGCTGAATGAAATCTACAAAGTGATGGATTTGCCCTTTCGACGTGGAAATTCCCCGTCCCCTCAATAGTGAACATAATACCTGCTCAAAAAGTTCCCTCTCAGTAGAAAGTGAAACCCCCCATTTTTATTAGCTCTCTTCGTCTGCTCCCTGCTACTTCCGTTTTTCTTTTTTGTTTCGTATACTTACTGGGCCCCTGTAGCAGCGGTCCTGTCAGGCTCTGCTGTCGTCAATCTCAGGACTCTGGTGGTCCCCCGAAGACCTCTGGTTCAGGTCCCTTGTTCGGGCGCCACTTGCCGCGGCCAGCGAGGCAGTGGGTTCGAGACGCGCAGTGACGGACTGAAAAGAGAGAGCGACCAGTTGCTCTGGTGGCAAAAGGCAAGTTTATTGAAAACTCTTGTCATTATATAGTGAAATGTTCTAAAAATAGAATGCTTGCTACACGAAGAGAGTCTTTGTTCAAGAAAGTTTACACACCCCCTTCAGGTCACGTACAGAACATCCTGGTTTAGATTAACTCCAAGGGACGCACCGCCCCAAGGCGCCGGCACCTCCCTGTCCTTCTCTTGGGAACAATCCGATAACCAACAAGGCCGGGGTAATGTCAGGTCACCTCCCCCGAGGCCAAGGAACAGGCCCAAGCATCATTCTCACAATGCAGGACCCTAACTCTTGACCCCTTCCTGGGGGCTTGGTTCCCCACATCCCACCTTAAGTGCCTGCCTTTATTCTTACTGACTTTACAAGCACAGATTTTGCAATCTACCTCCCTCCTGGAGGAGCCTATTCCTTATTATTCCATATCTTGTATTTTTAACATTTAGAAAAGGAGCTTTAACAAGGACATAAAACAGAACCTTTGAGGGACTCTGCTGACCCACCTGGGACCCTGAGGGAAGAGCATGCTGGGAAAGCTGAGGCCAGCTGGGGCTTCATGAGGAGTGGCATTCACTTTCTCCAGGGCTATGTTCTGCCTTACAACAGGGACACTGCTTTCTCTAGCTACTTTTTTTTTCCTGTCATGAATAAATACCTGAATAAGAATAGTCTTATCTGTATAAAGCCGAAATTTGTTTTAAAAGCCACCTTTCAACTATTTTAACTAATTTTCCACTTCATAGTAAGTTTTTTTTTCCTGCAAGGAATCCAACAAGAACATACTACTTATCAATCATCTGTTACAAAGAATCAAGTATTGACATCTTAATTGCATTTAAACAGAGCGGGGGGTGGTGAAGGGGAGA